AACCTTAAACCCTAAGCCCTGAAGAAGACGAAACCTACAACCCCTCAACCCTCAGCCCCGAATCCAAAACCCTATAGACGGACAAACCCTACACCCTCAAGGCCCGAATCCTGGCCATGAACACCAAATGCTAAACATTGCTGAACCCTATAGTCCCCCTTAANNGTAGATAGAACATGGGGTAAATGGGAATCTCATTATAATATACCCTACGCCATATTCTATCTGCTTAAGGGGGAGTATATTCCCCTAGTTTCCATTGTCTTTTCCATTTGATTCTCCATTATAGGGGGATAATAGGGGAGTATAACCCACATTCTATCTACTTAAGGGAGACTATAAGCCTAAACCCTGTGAATTCTAGGGATCCGGACCAGTCTCCATCTCGGCCCAGGTTGCTTCTGAGACCTTCCACTTTTAGGGGTTTGGGTTCTAGGGTTCAGGGTGTAGGTTTCAGGGTTTCAGGGTTCAGGCTTTAGTGTGTAGGACTTGAATTTATCGGGTTTTAGGCTTTAAGGCCTGAGGTTTCGGATTTTGGGATTTAGGGTTTGAAGTATGGGACTCGTAAGACTCAGGGCTGTTGGGTTGTTTCAAGTTTGGTAGGGCTTGTTGGGTGTAAAATGTTTAGAGGATTTCACAGGCTCCTGGGGTCAGGGGATTTGATAAGGTTTGAACCAAAACCCTACAAACCCTAAACCCCTACACCCTAAACCCCTAAACCCTGACCCCTAAACCCCTAAACCCTAAGCCCCTAAACCCTAACCATCCCTAACCCTGAGGGTCCAAGGACGGAAATAATAGGGTTTTAGGGCCCAAATACCATTAGCAGTATAGCATTTGGGCCCTAAAGCCCTATTATTTGGGTCCTTGGACCCTTAGGGTAAGCCTTTGCAGCTGCAAGTCCATTCTTCAAGACTCGCAGCTCAAGCTTGTTCTACTTGGCAGGACTTAGGGTTTCAAATGAATGGGTTAGGTAGCCTACTTATAAAGGATTCCATTAGGGTATACTGGTATTATGAAGTCAAGGGGATGCTATGTGTATATATATAGTTATATATATATATCCTAACACCACCGTGCCTCAAAGTAGGGCCGTCGGCGTTTTTTGGGTTCAGGTTCTCCTAGGACCCGAAGCTGTTCCCTCTACGCAAGGCTAAGCGCGGAAGGGACTTCAGACAGTCGCTACTGCTAAGGCTCTACACAGAGAACACAGCCATGACCAGCGCTAGCGCCACTTTCACAAGTGGCATTGTGTCAAATATTTCTACCAAAAGTGGCGGGAGCTGAAGCTGGACGTCTCACTGCACCCTAAACCCTGAACCCGTCATCTGTGTACGATTCATATTATAATGGTCCCACCCAAAAAAGGACAGCTAACACATCCTGTCGCCACCATGCACCGGGATCCCATACCGCAAGACCAGAATCATAGCCTTATATCTCATGTCAAGACAACCCCTGAACCCTGAACTCCTTTACATCCATATGATCTATAGTCTCAACTCCTAGAATCCCCCTTGTTAACCCCTGTGATGTTCCACTATATAATCCCCCTTGAAGGAGTGTAGACTATAGCTGATATAGCCCCAAACCCAAAACCCTAAACCCTGAATCGTAGTTTCCATTTTCTCTTCCATTAGCCCTATATAACCCATATATTGCCCCTCTATAACGGTACTTTCCTTTTCTTCTCCATTATCCCTATGTAACCCCAATACTCGAAACATTGCCACATGTCATCGCTGAGCTTGTCAAACCAGGTAGCATCCACAGGACACTGAGGCCAACAGTCCTCATCCATTTTAGGGTTTTAGTCCCCCTAAAGTAGATAGAATATGGCTTGGGTTACATTATAACAAGATCCCCATACATCCCATATCTACTTAAGGGGGGCTATTAGCCTTTAGGGGTAAGGGTTTAGCGGCCAACAGTCCTCATCCATACGAGTCACTCAGCTGTTGGGCTATCATAGTTGGGGAGGTGTATATATATATAGCCATAATAATAGTTAATGGGCTGTATCACATGGGTTAGGCCACCACCCACTAATAGTGGTACCCTAATATAACTACCATTATCCATTGTGGTCACTATTAGTGGGTGGAGGCCCAACCTAATGTAGAACCCTTAATAACAAATGGGCTGTATAGCCCTACCTAAACACCAAAAGTATGTAAAATGATAACCCTAAACCCCTAAGAATAGCCCTAAGGGCCATTATTTTACCTATTTTTGCGGTCCAGGTAGTAACACTTAGCCTAAAACATTCTGGGGATCGGGTCACGCACTCCTCTCGGCTCTTCGGCCCTGGGACTTCCATTTTGGGTGCTTCCCAAAGTGAAGGATACCATTTTTGGGGTCTGAATAATAAGGGTTTTAACGTATTGGGTCTGTTTCGGGGTCCTCCTATTTAGGGAAACTACCATTTCTTTTCAGGTAGGAGGTTATAAGTCACAATCCTCACATTCCAAACCTCCATGACCACATCCCCCCAAGGACCGCGGCTCCTGAATGTCATTGACCATTCCGAGGCCCATTCGTTGAGGTTGGTAGCCTAGGTTCTCCAGTAACCCCTTAAGAACAAGGGTACCCTTTTTCCGAATGTTCAGCTTCAATAAGGAAACCCCATAACAAAAAATGGGCAAAGAGTACTACTGGGGTTCCAAACCCTGAACCCTAAACCCTAAACAAAAACGGTAAAGAGAGTACTGCTGGGTACCTAGTAGCTTCGAAAGGACCGCACCATATCCTGGCACAGGGCACACGTTAGGTGGGAAAGCGTCCGTCTCCTGACCCTGTTAGGGTTTAGGATTTAGGGTGTGGAACTATGCCAAAGGGTCCATGTAGCTCTATATTATACACTGAGGGTTCGTGCCAAAGGGTTCCCACATGGTTCGGGATAATTCCTTGGGGCCCAAGTGTAAACAATATAGCTACCTACGTGGACCCTTGGGCATAGGACCCTCACGTGGAGACGCCATGACAAACCCTGTATAGACTGTAGCAGATGAGGCTGTGACCTTGTCATTAGTATAGGGTGCTACGTCCTAAGCCCTTAACCCTTAACCCTTGACCCTAGACCCCGGGAAGCCCATGGACCCCAGCCTAAACCCTAAACCCTAAAAACCCTAAAACCCCTAAACCCTAAAACCCCTAAACCTTAAACCCCTAAAACCCCTACATCCTAAACCCTAAACCGAAAGACAGTGTCCAAGCCACCTCAAAGCCGGAGCTACACGTGCCAGTGGTGATCCCCGTATGGGCGCCGGCCCCAAAATAAACCCCAATAGAATATCATCCTCGGTATGAGTACACAAAAAAAGGACCCTTTCTAGAGATTAGGGTTTAGGGTTACAATTCTGACACACCTTCGTGTGATTCTTGGGCCTCAGAGGTCTCTGCATCGCCCAGGCAGTCGGCAATCCAGGCGTCACAGCGGAAGACCGACTGGCGGAATGTAGACAAGTTCAACAATACTAGCGTGTAATAGGGGTATACAACCCCAACATTGGAGAAGCAAATGGACAAGAATATGGGAAATTAAGTGGGCACTGGGATCAAGTAGTACTGCAAGGGCCCAGAAAACCTTGACGAAGCTTGAGTTGTAGAGCGTAGCGTTGAGGACTTGGTGAGAGAAGGGCCTGATGAGGAAAGGGGTTTAGGTTTAGGGTTCAGGATTTGGGGGCGAACAAATAAATAGAATAATAGAAGATCAAATGGACAAGAAAACGGAATATAAGAAATGGAAGCTGGAAGGGTTTTATCTGGATTGTAATCTAGGTCCTATCCTATTCCGCTTTGCAAAAAGAAGTCCAAACGCACAGCAGGCGTAAGGGGACGATCTAGCGCACGGTAGGACGGAGAGGAGGCGCCCTAGGGACCTAAGGGACAGATAGGGCTTAGGGTTAAACAAAAGGGGGACGCCTAGGGACTCGCGGAATACATGGGGATCATCAGCAATCTTGCAAGAGACGTGGCCCCCCTTATTTGGTTGACACGTTCTCGAATGCGCTTGGATCTTGCAGAGACAGCTTCCAAGAGGCCTCCAAGCAGTCTGGATCGAGGTGCTCGATTACATCTGGCGCCTGTACGCAGAGAAATCGCCCTCCGAGCACAGAAGCCTCAGTTTGGGCTTGCTTAGCGTCTATCGTTTAGGATTTCGGGGTGGATGTGGCATCGACGCCCTCATTTTTATTCACCCTGTCTGTCTAGGACCCTCGTGTCGTGGAAAGGGGCGTATTCAAAAAAGGAACAGCATTGTATCTGGAATGCATTGGTAGCCGACTCCCAATTTGCAAATAGTCCTCCTTAAGTAGATAGAACATGGGACCTTATTAATTATGAGATCCCTAAACCCTAAACCCAAATAACCCCTATATAATCCCAGTTTCCATTTCATTTTCAATTTTCTTTTCCATTTGATTCTCCATTATTAGGGGTAATATTTTCATTCTCCGGGCATCCGTACCCTGATTCTTGCATCATCCCTACCCAACCCCCATCCAATCCCTACATCATCTCACAGTTTAGCGTTTAGGGTTTAGGGTCATCCTTACACCATTCCTAAAGGAGCACTACATAAGCCCTGCATAAGCACGGCGGAATACATGGCGGAATTCCTATAGAACTCCTGAACAAGCACTACATAATCCCCCAAAGGACTATGGAAACCTTATAACCCATATTCCCATACTCCCCATAGAAGCCCTAAAGAGTTATCTGAAACCCCAAACCCTAAACCCTAAACCCCACACCCCTGACCCTGAACCCTCAAACCCTAAACCCCAAACCCCTAAACCCCAAACCCCTAAACCCTAAACCCTAAAAACCCTAAACCCTTTCCACCCAAGGCGCTTCGGAGAGGTTGACTGGCAAGGCCCTCTCCGCGCAGAAGCCCAGTCCTCGTCGTAGGATAGCAAGATGGCGGAAGGTACCTTCTCTTGCTGGTTTAGGGGTAGGGTTTAGGGTTTAGGGTCAGGGTTTAGGGTCGGGCTTCTATGGGGGTATATGGCACTGGCTAGGTAGGTATGGGTTTACAGGGTTTGTAGGGATCATATGAAAACCTTGTCTTAATGACTAGGTAGGCTGTGGTTAATCGTCTAGGGTGTAGAGTGCAAGGTATATGGGGGCATACTGGGCTTGCATGGCCTGGTCGCTTTTTCCTGGGCAGATGAAGTGTTTAGGATTTGGGTTTTATGGTAGGGGGTATAGGGGGGTATATAGGGCGTAATTACAGGGTAATGGACCAGTAGTAATGGAGCCTCGAATGGAAAATCATATTCAAAAGAAAATTGAAAGGAAACAGAGCTTGGGACGATGGAGAGATTTAGGATTTGGGGGCTAGGTAGGTTTTTGACGCAACGCTATTTTTGTCTATAGCAGCAACTATACAGGAAGATATGCGTTGACCTGCGCGTGACTTTGCGGTTTTCCTAGCCTGCTTGCTGGTGGGCAGTTGTAAAAAGAGTAGTTACTGATATCATTCTGAAGTCGATTTGTGAACCGTCTACCAAAAGTATACAAGGAATCAAGGACCTGAGCTGAGAGGAGCACTATTTTGTCGCCTGTAGTACGTTTTAGGGTTCAAGGTCTGAAGGTTTAGGCTTAATACCTGATTCGAGGATGAAAGGTTTGGAAGTCATGAATCATAGAACACACCTCGATGCACTTCGTTGAGGAAAACTGCCACAGCTTGTGGTTCTTAATGATTTGCAAAACCGATCAGAAGCGAGGACAGCAATCAAATAAACACCCCTTTGGGCCCTGAGTGCGCACCAAACCCTAAACCCTAAACACCTAAACCCTAAACCCCTAATCCTTCAACCCCTAAGCCCGTTAAACCCGTAAACCCCTAAACTCTAAGCCCTCACTCTTTCGGGCTTGCTGGTAGGGCACGGCGCGGCCCCAGGATCAACCTGCCGGCTGCAACGTAGGTGTCATGCGTGGCAGTGTCCTGATCAGGATTTAGGGTTTAGGGGATATCTGGGGGGTATGGTTATATGGGGATGAACATGCATACCTATACAATTATATATATATGTGGGTATATATATATATGGGGTGTATATACCCAAAAATGTCTACGTGTAGGGATATATTTTCGTATGGACATATCATATACATGAAGGGTCATGATTTAGGATTCTTGGTCATGACTTGGATAGTACGGAGGGGCATGAAGGCTGAACTTCTTAGGGTTTAGGGTTAGGGTTTGGGTGGTTTAGGGTTCAGATTTGGGGGGTCTAGGGTTTGCGGTTAAGGTTTTGGGGTGTGAAGGGTTTGGGGTCAGGCTATGTTCATTAAAAAAAAACATCATCAACCCTGCTCAAAAACTCCTTAAAGGGGGTTATATACGGGATGATATGAGCTACAGTCTAAACTCCTAGTATCCCCCTTAATAAGCCCTATAGTAGTCCCATATATAATCCTCTATAAAACCTCCTTTAAGGAGTTTAGATTATGGCTCATATACTCTTTGGCCCTCCCTAGCCTTGAGGTCCCATGTAACGTGTTTAATGTGCTTTGGGGGCGGGTTTAGGGTTTAGGGGTTATTGAGGATCAGGGGGTAATGACTGTCAGGTCCCCTATAATGTGTTTTCAGTCTGGGGTCGCCAAACCTTTAGGACAGTTGTCAATCCCCTCTGATTTTGAAAGGCACGCCTCTTCAGAACCTCTTCCAACTCAGCCTTCCGAGCTTTAGATCCAGAATCCAGGTACCATATCCTAAACCTTCAGCGCCAGATCTATTCAAAGCCATGAAAAAAACTTAAAAATCTTAGCCCTTATCATTTGGGCTAAGGAGGCAGTCCAGCAAGCCCTTGGATCCTCGACCATGCCCACTGTTTGAGGCCCTCTTTAATCTGTCAGCAAGGATTGAGGCCCCAGAAAAAGGATTTGTAAAGGCAGCCCTTTTAACATCCTTTCCCAGCTCACTCTTCGGATCAGCCAACCAGCTTGATTTTAAAAGACTTTCTCACAGCCTCAAAAAGTCTTAGCCCTAATCATTGGGGCAAAGCCCTTGAATCCCCACTGATGCCAATTGTCTCGAGGCCCTCTTTAATGTAGACCCATGATTAAGAACCCCCCTCCTTTTAAGGGCCTAAATATAAGATGATCCCTATTATAATCCCTGAGCCCTAAACCCTAAATCCTACACCCAAAACCCGTAATATTAGGATTCCCATTATCATCCCGATTAAGGGGAGGGGGTTTATAAATCAGCCTTGGGACCTTTGCAAGTTTTTGGAGTTCCAGACCATCCGCAAACCTTAAAACCCACGCATTTAGGGGTTTAGGGTTTAGGGCCTGAACCTTTTTCAAGCAACCCACAGAGCTCTCAGAACCGCAGGAGGTCCTGAGGGGCCTTTATTGATGGGCGCCCCATTGTTAAGCGGGGGGGTGACCCCCGACACCAGAGAGGGCCCCACATTAGGGACTATTATAGGGGTGTTATTTTAGGAGGATACTAGGAGTTTAGACTTTAGCTCTTATGATTTGGCTTTGCATGCAGCTTTAGTTTCTCTGCTTCGGAAGACTGCTAGCTCTACGGTCACGTCCGACAACTGCATACGTAAGCCATGCCACGTACGCAAACACACTTGGTTGAACCCAGTAAGATTATTTTCCTTATATGAAATACTATACCCCAAAAGGAGGATATAATCTTACTCTATATTGGGCACCATAGTATCCCCAAATAAATGACTACTCACTTCTCCTTTCCCTCAGCCATGCTATCGTCAGGCAGCCTTGGCATTGTGGTGCAGCTGATGGACCCACTGCAAGCTCTTCGTGGCATTCTGGAGCGGCAGCTCCTGCCACATTCTTACAAGGATATTCCTGGTAAGGAGCTGAAAGGCATGCTTTTCTGGTGAAAAACTACGCCAAACTCCAGAATCATGGAGGCCTGTGCTTTCAAAAGGTCCGCGGACCCCACTCTCCTGAGGTTAGGGTTTAGGGCTTAGGGTTTAGGGATTGGGCGCGATAAAGACGACCGCAATGCCTGACATCTGCCACTCTGCTGACCCTAACCCTTTCGTGATGGCCTCGTGCAGCCAGTCCAGCAAGTGAAGGAGCAGTGAGCTGTGTGCACCTGAAGGCAATTTCCATTTCCTTATTGCCTTTCAAAAAGTAAAAAAACTCTCCACCCTCCGAATCTCAAATGTTCCCACTGTGGAATACTAGAATATACTGGAGACAATTCATAGTAGACCGTGTTAGTACAAGAGGTAGGGGATTGCGGGCCTTCCGTATCCAGGGTATCCTAAGCCCTTAATCCTTAACCCTAAAAACAAAGCCCTTTCTGGCTCCAGACTTGGACTGGTCGGGATAAACAAGCTGACAGGTCGACTTGGGAATAAGACAACGGCTTAGGGTGTTGAGTTAAGGGTTTAAAGTTTAGGGTATAGAGTTTGGGGCTGAGGATTTTGGGTTTGGAGTTTAGGGTTTAAAGTTTAGGGTTTACAGTCTAGGATTAATTTGTACTTCCGATCACACAGAAAAGCAAAGAGGCTTGAGCCTGGAATTTGGCTTTCCTTTTCAGGATTTAGGGCTTAGGGTTTAGCCCTAAACCCTAAACCCTAAACCCTGAACCCTAAACCCTAAACCCTAACTCCTAAACCCTAAACCCTAAATCCTAAACCCTAAATGTAGGGGCATAGCCAAGCAACGCTTCTCCCAAGCTCTGAAGAAGAGGGCAGAGTAGTCGGAGACCCGTGAGATGTACGGCCCAGACAGAATGCGTCCAGTGTGGAACTCCTCCTGAAGAGTGCAGTTTAGGGTTTAGGGTTTAGGGTAAAGGGCAGCAGTGCAGCACATGATGAAATTGCAACTTTATCTGCTGAAGACCACTTTCTGGGTTGCAGTCCCCAGGCTAACTTCAAGAGTTCTAGTCCACTCCCCCTAATACTAACCCCCCCCCCCCACCCCCCTAACATTAAATACTCCTCATTGCGATATATTACATTATACAGAGCATATGTTAATTATTAGGGGGGGTAGGAGGGTTTTATGTCAGGGGGAGGGGATTAAGGCTGCAGAGGTACGCTGAAGACCAGATGGCGACTGGCGTCCACGAATCTTCGCAGGTCTAAGCTGCGACTCAGGGGCAGGGTGCCGCTGTCGATGTGGCAGATCCTCAGGAAGTCTGGGCAGGGCTAGGGCTATCATCCACCTTGAGTAGATAGAATACGACTTTGACCAAAAGCATAATAAGATCCCCATATACCCCATATTCTATCTACCTAAGGGGGACTGTACTCTTCCGAAGGCCAGCACTTTAGACAAAGTCCACTTTGCAAAATGTGTCAAGGGCATCTTCCTCTTGCCTGCTTGGAGGCACAACTTGGATTCCAGCCTGCAGCCTCTCCAACTTCAAGTGCCCAAATTATGGGGTTGTCGCTTCCGAAAGCAATAACTCCTCAAATTGTATTTGGGACCTGAAGCCAGAAAAAATGGGTGCTTGGACCCTTAGGGTTCAACAGGCTCAAAGCTTTTATCAAAAGAAGTTGTGGGTCATTGCTTGCGTGAAAAACACGTGGCAATGCATGTAGCAATCTCAAACCAACGCATGGTAGCTACATCAAGTCAGGAGCCCAGTTCCAACCAAAATTCCAAGTATACCATACTCGTCATTCTAGAATTCCTACCGTAATTTCGGAAGCCCCTCCCCCATTCACGAGCTACGGCCCAAACTCCTAGCATCCGCCTTTAAAAGCCCCTATGATACTCCCCCATAAAATCCCTGATGTAACCCCCTTTCAGGAGTTTGGACCCTAAACCCTCAACCCTATATGATCCCCTATAGAAGCCCCTTTCAGGAATTTAGACTATGACTCATATATCAAGTTTCTGCACTTTCAGTTTAGGCGCCACTTCGGCAGCTGGTGCAAGCCAAGATCTGAGAGTATCTGCTGCTTCTGGCCGACTTCCTGCAGGCCCTGTGCAGTCAGAAGTATGTGGCGTAGATGTAGTAGTGGTCGTCGGTAGTAGTGGTCGTCGGTAGTAGTAGTAATAGTAGTAGTAGTAGTAGTAGTAGTCGTAGTAGTAGTAGTAGTAGCAGTAGCAGTAGCAGTAGCAGTAGTAGTAGTAGTAGTCGTAGTAGTCGTCGTCGTTGTTGCTGTAGCAGTAGCAAGAGTAGCAGCAGAACTTGTAGTAATTGTAATAGTCGTAGTAGGAAGCAATAGCAGCAGCAGTATGGAGAGTTGATGCAAATAATGTAGCTACAGCTACTTTTTCAACTCCAACTACTGGTACATTTTAGAGATTTTTGGCGGCCAGAAACCCACTGCTTCGGTGAGGGTCTGTCGTGACCCTATTCAGACGCATGTGGGGGAGGTGGGATATTCCAAACTTAGGACCCTTTTTTGCAAAGGTCAGTTGGATGATATGCAATAGTTAGGGCACCTATTTATGGAAGGCCCCTTATAACTTCAGGCTCTGCTTGGGCCTCCAGAATGATGGCCTGCACGCAGAAGCGCGCAAAGTAGGGGTCCTTGGGAAGCACGCTTTCATGAAAGCATTGTCTCCGTATGTGTATATAGGTATACACATGGACACCCGCCCATGACCCAACGACCCCCTGAAAAACACGGCAAACTCTACAAAATATACATTTCTTCTAGACACATATGTGTAGAAGTACATATATACAAATACATCCCCTGGCAAGGGGCCCTAGAGTGTTGGACACCGTAAGCTGCGGCTGCATCAATTTGCTTTACATGCGCATACGGGCAAGAGGCGCTTGAGACAACACATGTCGAATGAGGCACAGTCAGCCACAGCGAGATGGCAAACGCCAGCCGCTGAACCCCTTGCATGGCATTCTTAAATCCCAGTTGCTGCCTTGCCTTCGCAACCGCGCACATGCTGCGGGTCGATGGCCCTGGCCTCTGAAAAAGAGAACTGGTGACTACCTCTACAAGACCTGATCCAACCGATGACATGTCTTGCCAAAGCCAAGAAATTTGCATGCAACGCTCTGCAGGTTAGCCTTGAAGTAACCCTCAACCCTAAACCCTAAACCTTAATGTCTTGCACCTTCATCTTCCATGCATCGGCATAGCACCCCCAAGCCGTCGCGTAGGAGGCGTGCTTGCCTTCACATGTGAGCCATAGTCTAAGCTCCTAGTATCCCCCTTAGGAACCCCTATAGTAGTCCTCTATATAATCCCCTTTAAGGAGTCGAGACTATAGCTCACATGTGTAATTTCCCTATAATAACCCCAGTTTCCATTTCATTTTCCATTTTCTTTTCCATTTGATTCTCCATTATTAAGGGGGTACTAGGAGTTTAGACTATAGCTCAAAAGCGCAAAACCCTAAACCCCAAATTGTAGTTTCCATTTTCTTTTCTATTATCCCTATAACCCCCATATAAGGCCCACAGTTTGCTGTTCATGACTTCCAGATGCATGATGCGTGCTTGCAACAGCCTCGCAAGGCCTCCACTCGGACCATTCAGCGCTTCGAAGCGCTGAATGTACAATAGGGTAGTTTCGCAAAACAAGGGGGATCCCAATATAGATCACAATGTATTATATGATGTTATGTTATAATATATTCCCATGTGTTAATATGTATTGTAATATAGTTTGACCAATTATAATTCTCATTGTTCGGACCTGGCCTCCAGATTGGTAGAGATACGAATCCCCGATGATCAGCAGAAGAATGTCGCTCCTTGCGGCGTGGGCCTCCTGAGTATTGCGAGGATGTTGCTTCTCAGCTTTGAACTTATCATTACTCTTATTACTACTATTGCTATTACTACTGTCACTACTATTCTTACTGGTTTTACCACCCTTACTATTGTTACGAATGTTGCTGTTACCGTTGATGGAGGAAATCTTGCACCACCTTGAGTCCCTAAAACCCTAGGAATTACAGTAGTTTAGGGCCCCTAGGTGGTGCAAGATATCATCCATCAACAGTATTACTATTATAAGGCTTTGAATGCACTTCTGTACGTCCTGTAGGCATGGTAAACAAGAATCCATCGGCACTTGGCCACATGAGCTATAGTCTAAACTCCTAGTATCCCCCTTAGTAACCCCTATAGTAGTCCCCTATATAATCCCCTATATGACCCACCTTTAAGGAATTCAGACTATGGCTCACATGGTTAACTGCATGCAAGCAACGATGTTCAAGTCCAGGTAGCGACAGACGATGCCTTTGCTCGGCCGAGAAATGTGGGTTGAGGGTTGAGGGTTGTGGTTTTTTTCTGTTGCCATCTACCCAAGGGGTCTATGTAGCTGTCTGGTATATACTGGGCCCTCGTTAAGTAGGTAACTGGGAACCCCTTTGGTACCTCAGTATATGCCATATATCTACATGCACCCTTTGCGCAGTCATCCCGCAACAGGGGATGTAGGTAAGCGACGAGGATCATGGGAAGCTTCAGGCTCGGGACTTGGTTCAGGGTTTAGGATCAGGGTTTAGGTTCACCAGGTGGGGGCGCAGCGTAGAAATGCTCTGCTAAAGACATATCGACTTTTTGGTGCCTGGGAGAAAGTGGGGAAGTGGATCCACAGAATAATTTCATAATGATCACCATATAGACCCCGAAAATGGTACCGATATGTACCCCCTAAACCCTAAACCCCTGAACCCCCTAATTATGTTCACTCCGCCACTTCCCCCTCTAATAGCAGTACGTCGACGGAAGCTCGGAAGAAAAGCTTGCTCACCACCTGCCATGCTTGCTGCCCAGGAACATTTTTGTACAGTTGACGTCCAAGTGAAGCTTGTGGTTGTGGAAATCACGGTGGTGGTTGAATTCATGCCATGGCAGGAACAGTCCGAAGCTTGAGATAATAATCGTAATAATAATTATACTAATAATCATAATAGTGAATAATAGTAATAATAGTAATAATAGTTAATAATACGAATAATCATAATAGTCTATAATACGAAAAATACTAATAGTAATAATAATAATATTAATGATAGTGAAAATCGTAATAATATGAGTAACAAAATAGTAATAGTCCCTACTTGGAAGGTTGCCGAAGTCACTTCTCTGCAATATGGATGGACTCAGTCTACGGACGCCGCTGGTATGTTAGTTTTTCAAACTCAGAACCCGATTTGCACAGCCTTCAGAAGCAGCTGTCTGGAGTTAAAATGGACCTGTGCCAAAACCTAAACCCTAAACCCTAAACCCTAAACTGAGCTTACGCTGAGACGGTACCTGCGGCTTGCTTGAGCGGGGAAGGAGGCTTCTGAGAGGGGGCTGCTCATTTGACACGACCATGAAGATATGGTAGTTTCCCAAAATCAGGGGACCCCAATATAGACCCCAAAATACTATGGTCCTTATTACAGGGACCCCTAAAAAGGTGCCCCTAATTTTGGGAAACCCCCATATACAGGCGAATGTCTATGGAATGTTGCTGAGGAAGCAAAAAGCCAGAAAGTTCATAAGTGGGCCATGCTGTGCACCAGCATGCGACTGCCTAAATCCCAGCTGGTGCAAGAAGATGCACGGAAATCTAGGACATCTCCTGTGCTCTGCTTGTTGCATAAAGCTGACATGTACGACGCGCTCCGACCCAAACGTTTGAATGACTCACCTTCTGCGCTCTACCGCTGCATCAGCAGAGCAGGCAGTTCTGTGCAAAACCCTGAAGCCCTTCTATACGCTAAGTGCCACCCCCGGTTTCATCCATGGGGTTCTCATCTAGGTAAGTACATTACGAAATGCTAGTGTGATCCGCTATCCATAGATGCTACCTGCCTAAACCCTGAATGGT